AATGAATGAATGAATGAATGAACGAACGAACGAACTTGCAGCTCCACACATTTTTTAATCTCAATGGCAGGCAGAGGTGAGTTGTCAGCTTCATGCCCCAACTTGACACCTTCTTGGGATACAGCCAGCAGACCCATTAGATGTGAATGTAGATGTGTCACAGAGTCAGTTGGATCCTGTGAAGAGAAAATCCATGCCCATGAATCTCTCCTTAGTATCTGAGTTGTCCAGCCCTAGTCAAGTCATTGTGCTGTCCGAGTTAGCTGTATTTGTATTAGAACCTATTGAATTGCATGGGTACAGAATGTGGCCACTCCTCAGGGAAGGACAGGTTGAGACTATTTCACAACAAATGACTGAAGATAATATTTGTATCTGTGAGAGATAAGATATCAGAACGCTGACTGAAATTGTTTAGTGAGGAGTTTCATAATTTATTCCTTTCTCAGAGTATTATTAGGATGATCATATCAGAGAGGATGAAGTGGGTGGGACATGTAACATACATTGGAGAGAAGAGAAATGCTTATGAAATTTTTTGTTGTGAACATGAGCTTGGAAGAACTTGGATAGTACTGAAATGAATGTGTGAGGGTATGAACTAGATAAATCTGGTTCAAGATGCAAACTAATGGCAGAGTCTTGTGAACTTGCTAATGATCCAACAGGTTACATTAAAGGTGAAGGTGCTGAGTGACTTCTGGGTTGTCAGGAAGGATTCTATCCTGTGGAATTGGTTAAAAATAACAAAAATAGGTACTTGCATGTGAATGTAATGTGTCCGTTTATAATTGCCCGGCATGAACCCTTGCATTCTTTCTTTGTTATGTAAGTGTTAATTGTCCCATTCTGCTCTACTTCGTGGTCGAGAAACCATATTTAAATGGCCGAAATGTTTAGAATGTTTGGAAGTAACACAGCATGGGCTGTATGCACGATTTTCTCTTCTTTGTTTACAATTGTTTAATCCTCTTTATGGCAGGAGGAAGTACAGGATGTCAATGTACTCAAGGAAGAACTAAAGGAAGATGTTACATCAAATGAACATGAAGCATCTGTGGGATGGTGAGTGTGACACCTGACACTCCGCTTAGTGCTGTCAGGTTTACCAATATTAGGTAGCTTGATGTTGATTTTTATAAGATCAACTAAATGTCATCCTTATATGAAATATGACATAAGTAATCTCTTCAGATCACGGCTATGTGACACACACCATGATCTTGGCATCTTATTTAAATAACTAAAACGCTGAAAGTACCTGGAAAAGGTTGAGACAGATTCATGACGTACTTCTTTTTCCATTCAACCAGTCACACATATGTACAGGGTGTCTACAAAAGGTCTGACACATTTTGATCTTTAATAATTCTGAAAATAAGGAAGATAGAAATAAACTGGTTACATTGTTGGATTGAGAAACTCAAAAAGTTTTGTGTCTATTGTTAATAAAGTTGTACATATGCGCCATTTGTTGCACATAAAATATCAAGATGATATTCAATTTCTTGTCAGGTTCAGGCAAGCATACCGACATCCACAGTGGTTATTGCGTCTCTTACTCTGGTTTTTAATTGATTGATGTCTCTCACCTGTGTCTTATAAACAAATGTCTTTGTCATATCCCCAGAGGAAAAAGTCCAGTGGGGTTATGTCAGATGATCTTGGGGGCCAAGAAATTGGACCACCTCGTCCAATCCATCTTCCTGGAAAATGTTTGTCCAAAGATCATGAACTATGGTGCTCCAATGAGGTGGCACACCATCTTGTTGGAAAATGATTTCAGGCTGAAGTGCTTCAGTTTGCAGGAATAAAAAATTCTGCAACATGTCTAGGTAAATGACTGATGTAACTGTCTTTTTTGCGAAAAAGAAAGGCCCAATGACTCAATCATGCATAAGAGCACACCACACATTCACTTTTGGGCAGTATCTTGCCATTTCACAGTATTCATGAGCGTTCTCTGATCTCCAAATAGTACATTATGGCGATTGACTGTTCCGGAAATGTGGAAGCAAGCTTTGTCAGAGAACAATATGGTTGTAAGAAATCTTTCATCATCCTCTATTCTTCGTAACATATCTGTTGCAAAATCCATTCTCTTAGGCTTATCATGTGGTTCAGTAGCTTGCACAAGTTGCATCTTATAAGCATTTCTTTCCTAGAATCTTGTGTACTGTTGAAACTTGCATATTCAATTCTCTTGCCACTGTTCTCAAAGATTTCCTGGGACTGCGTGCAAATGCTTCTCAGACACACTCAACATCATCAGTGCTTGTGCTGGGACGTCCGGAACTCTTCTTACTGAGGACACTTCCTGTTTCTAAAAATATCTTTTTCCATTCTTTGATAATGTTTCTAGAAGGAGGATCTTCCTAGTAATGTGTTATGAAGTTCCTCTGCGTTTGTGTCACCGATTTTGTTTCACAAAACCACACCTCTCTTTGCGCTCTCTCTCCTGCAGAGTCTCAATTTTCTCAACAATGAACACTGCGCTGACAGCTATGAACACGTTCGTGACCTGTAAAGAGGAAAATAAACTTTTTGAGTTGCTCTTTCCACCATTGCTAAAGGTTTATTTCTATCTTCAATATTTCCTGAATTTTAAAAAGCTCAAAATGTGTCAGACCTTTTGTAGACAACTTGTATTTTAGATATATACAATATGTTTTGCTCATGTCTTATATCTTTTCTCTCAGCTAAAGTGAAAAGTGAACCACAGAATAAATGTGAATCTGAAGGAACTTTTGTTAGTGATTGATGATCTTGGTAACCATGTTTATGTGTTCCATAGAAAATGATACTATTTAAACTAACTTAGAAAGAATGTAATCCTGACCTGTACATTAAAAGATATAGTTCACACACTGCCCAATGTTTCAGTGTGGCTGAGTTTACAGATGAAGACGCACCCAGCTGTTCATCACTTGCAGATCAGAATACCTCCAAATGTGATATTTCTGGGGAAGGTGGAAATTGTATTAGGCAGCAGAAATTCACCAACAGTGGAAAGAAACATGTGAAGTATAATTCCACATGTCCTGGAAACAGTCAAAGTCTTGCTAGGGAAAAACCATTCAAATGTGAGACTTGTGGTAAACGATATTCTTACAGAAGTCATTTAGCTACACATCACCATATACATACTGGAGATAAAGTTTCCAAATGTGACATTTGTGCACTGAGTTTTACAGATCCTGGTGAGCTAGTAATACATTGTCAGATTCATACAGGAGAGAAACCGTTCAAGTGTGAATTTTGTGGTAAAGGATTTGCTGCTAATGGAACTCTGGTAACCCATAGAAGAATACATACAGGTGAGAAGCCATTCATTTGTGAGATGTGTGGGAAGGCTTTCTCAGTTGGTAGTAGTCTAGTGCAACACCGTCGTACTCATACAGGAGAAAAACCTTTCACATGTGAGGTATGCAGTAAAGCATTTGCTCGGTCTGGTCACCTAGTAAATCACCGTCGTATACACACTGGAGACAAGCCGTTTATATGTGATATATGTAATAAAGGTTTTGCAGAATCTGGCCCATTAGTTAAACATCGTCGTATTCATACTGGAGACAGGCCGTATAAGTGTGACATTTGTGGTAAAGGATTTGGAGACAGCAGCAGTTTAGTTGGACACAAGAGATCTCATACTGGAGAGAGACCATTTACATGTCATATTTGTTACAAATCATTTTCTTGGAGTGGTCATCTGATTACACATCTACGCACGCATAATGGGGAGAAAACTCTAGTTTGTGATATTTGCACTAAACGATTTGCAGAACCTCGCTTGTTAGTTAAGCATCTCCGCCTTCATAATGGAGAAAGACTGTTCTCATGTGATACGTGTAATAGAACTTTCTCAGAAGGTAAGCAGCTTGTGTTACATAGACGTATTCACAGTGGCGAGAAGCCCTATAAATGTAATTTTTGCGATAAGGCATTCTCTAGGAGCGAAACCCTTTTATCGCACCATCGAATACACTCGGGTATGAAACCGTTCACATGTGAAGTCTGCCATAGGAGTTTTGCTCGGTCCGCACACCTTCTTTATCACCAGCGCCGTCATGCAGGTGGAAAAATTATTCAGTCAGACACTTCTATTTGAATTCAGGTAGTAATTACAATATTTTGTTTCCATCCAAATTTCTGATTATAATATTAAATATTAATATAATATAATATTAAATTATAATAATTACCATTCCTTGTTTATTTAGACATAAAGTTAATAATTTTGGCATTCTGTTAGGTTCCTGGGACTGAAATTTTCTCAGGAATGGTAACTTTGAAAAACTGCAGTCATTTCTTTCTACATCTGAATTTGTTATCGCTTTATTGAAACAATGTAGTTTAAAAGTGTCATTAAATCAACAAAAACAAGACAAACTTTTTGGAAGTACTAATATTTCAACTGTAGTCAAATGGTAAATGTTTAAAAATGAGCGATTTATGTAACATTATTATTATTCTTTTGAAGAAAGCAGTCTTCTGGGATTTGGCACCGTGTATATGTGGTGTTAACCAACGTTTCGGAGGAACGTATCGCCCCCATCTTCAGGGTAGAAGAAAAAGTATAAGAAATCTGCAAGCGACAACACCGTGAGAAATGGTAAAGCAGACTGATTATTATTCTTTTGTTCATAAAAATGCATACTGCAGTTTGCAAGATATCTTGCAACTTTAAAAAAATAATTGTACTCTGCAGTGTTTCATAATTTGTCTGAGGAATATATATTTAATGTTCCATAAGAAGACTTAAGATTCTGATTTGGACATATACCATCAGTATACTCCATCTGCTACATGCCATGTTTAGTGACACAGACCATTACGCCATCGCCCAGAAGTCCTGTCTTCAACATACTGTCGCGTATCGGGCGTATATCGCGACAAATAAATTCTCGATGTATTCGATATAGCGAATTTTATTTCACATTCGCACTTACAATCACCCAAATTACAGATTTACGATTACTGCTATCTGCAGTATCACAATTAGTACACTCCAAATGCCAGAATACAACTGACTAGTTGCTGGCTAACTCGGCGGTAGCTCCAGGACTCACTGACTGACTCAGTACAACTGACTCGGCGACTGTTACAGTACAACTGACTGTGAATAGCCTTCGCTTCTCCCTATGTAGCCTCGATCGGACAATACGGCCACGTAATAGGCACCCTTGTTGCTAGCCACGCTGTCCGGTTACGTCACCGCTGTTGATTCGCCTTGCATAGTTACCCGGTTACGGGGCTCGGCTATCTTCGGCTCCNTCCGCTCGTGATGTCACCGCGCATGGCTGCCAGGATGCGGGGTGATTACTCGCCTATTATGCGAGCGTTACGTTACCGCTGAGGGGTGGGAGGTGAGCGCTGACTCACCCGCCGCGTCACTGCTGGTGTTGGGGGGGGCTCGGCTTTGCGCAGCATGTCACAATACTATTCATATGCCAGTGGGAAATCCAAACATGTTTACACAGCATTTTTTCTGTAAAGTCACCAGTAAGGTATTGCTCTGGTTCCTAGAGTAGATGAACTTTGTATACATGTTCAGGTTTTTTTTTTTCTGATAGCTAATCAGGGCTGAATTTTGTTCTTAATAAAGTGAAAGTTACAAGCTTGGTACTTAGTTCTTAGGTCAGAAGTCATAATATAAAAGTTTAAGTGCACTTATAATTTTTTAATGATTTTTCACTTCAGTCCTTACTGAACACCAGAGACATGTCCAAGACATTACAAGTTTGAGAATCCAGTCTAGAATATTACACAATAACACTGTGACTTATGTAGACAACATAATACTGCAGTGGTTTAAATATGTTTCATGAGTTAAAAAGCATGCTTACAGACTTTCAGGTGGGAAATCTCTACAAAAATTTGCAACAGGATGGTTAAGTAACACGCACAAATGGAAGGGTTCTATACATGGAGGCCAGTGCAGGGATTTTGTATCTTTTATGTTAAATCTTGTGGTTCTGCTTCTATGAAGATGGTAAAGAAATGAATGTGTGGTAATATATGCAGAATAATTTTCATTGATTTTGTCATCAGGATAGGTTTGTTTGATTTCTTTGTGAATGATAATGGTTAATACATCATTCATTGGCTTGAAAGAAAATGCATTGGTTTTGTGCTGAATATCTTTGCATCATTTTATAAGCCATTGGTTATAGATAGAATATCGGTATCAGTTTACCTCTTCCACATTTTATATTTTACTTCAGAATTGATAATAAAGGAATATGTTTGGCTCTTCAGAAATGCAAGGTTAAGATAAAGTTATTGCTAAGCAATTGTAATGAATTCATTGTTGATCTAAATGATGCACTGGTATATAAAGAAGTACAGTTCCATCAAGTATAACCATTTTGGTAATAAAAGAAATCTTTTCTGTCTCTCTTATTTTGGCCTCTTGGTGACCGTTATGGGTAGGCAAACGAACATTATAAGGGAAGTACTCCAAAGTTGTTATTGATCATAAATTGTTACTTGGTCATTGAAGGGATTTATGATATATCACATAAACACCGTCCCAAGTGCAACAATTTATTGTAGTTCTTTTGTCTTGCCCTCTTCTACACTACATGTTTCGGCCACAAACGGCCGTCATCAGGTGTATACACTTACGTAACTGTTACACTGCACTTAGTTTAAAATTTAAAACCACGAGTCTTCCCAATTGTTCTTTTCATCGTTACTAACAGGTTTCGATTTATTAGAATCTACTTCGCTGATATCTGATTTGTGCATTATCTTTGTTACCTACACTCGTCAATTTTGATTGTTATTAACTGGCACTTTTAAAATCTTCAGTTCTAATTTAAAAGTTCTTTTAAAAATTAAAATTCTCAGGGTTATTCGCCATATGTGTGTAGTGCATCAGCGGCTACTTCTTGTTTTCAGCACTGTTATTCTGTATAGGCTCCCTGTGTGCGTGCAACAGGATGCCTAAATATAATATTGGATTTATGATAGTTGTGAATATTAAGTTCCAGTAGTATAGATTAAGTTGAAAGGCTATGTTAAATTCATAAGAAACAGATGTAGTAATGGCCTTTGTAATGCCTTCTGGTGTTGATAAACCCTTCGATAATGAAAATAAAGCAACAATTATCACCAGACTCATTGTTAAGGGGACTGATTTTTTTTCCCCTTGGCACTAGAGCCCTAGTGGGCCTAGGCCTACCTCCATGAACTCCGTAAGGGGACTTATTCAATTAGCAATTATGAAAGGAACTAAACAAAAAAAAATATCACTCTGGTGAGAACTGAACAAGATTAGGGCGAGTGCACTCTTACGGACCGAACATCTTAATAGCATAGACCAAGAAGGCTATATGATGCGTAAAAACTAGTACTTCCATATTTTTCCATTCTTGAGAAACCGCAAGTCGCCCCAAAAAGTACATGTGTATTTTTTTTTTGTACATGTGTTTCGTGGTGTCTTGTAGAAAATTATATGGTAGGCGTCACAAACAGAAATATGAAAATATGGAGTTAGGGGCGTAGAAGGATGTCACTGCATATCCGACGTAAAATGGAATAAAGTCAAATGGCAGTGCAATAGCAAATAATCCAGAAGGCCTGCGTTGCATTGTTCGGCGTCTTGGTCGTTTGTGTGACATTATGCGGCTTTGGGACTGCACTTACACGTAGTAAACGCGTATTATCTATTGGTACAGACAGCACAAAATGAATTAGATTACAGTAAAACGTTCGAAGAGAAAGCGTAACACATATGCAAGAAGGCGTAATTTCTTTACAGTCATTACTAGGCTTATTTATTGGATCCACAAATTGTTTACAAATCGCTTTCTTGGCTCCTGATAAGTATCTACGAGGTTAGACAGCGTTCCATACGAAACGACAGTAATCTTCGGTAAGTTCTTTGACCTAACTACGGAATTTACAGGATTACCAATTTCCTCAATGAGTATATCATATCGAGGTCAGTCAGGTCAGGATCGTCAGGATGGTGCGTTCAAATGATCGCAGTCGCCCCAATTCATATCACTATGCATCGTCTTCCTATTTCATCGCCTTGCAATATCTCGGTAGCTGAAATAATCCGATAAATTAATTAAGGCGTTTATTTCTTCACGTTTTTTGGTGATTAGGAATCGAAGTGTGTGACCAGCACAGGTTTGGGCATTGTATTTGATTTGCAGAACATATCGGTGATGCAGATTTAATTTCTAGAATCTTTAGCATGTTGTATATTGCTACTTACGTTATATTTTCTTAATAAGCTAATCGAATAGAAGCATAGTACCATAAACTTAAGCAGAATGTAATGGTTTAGACAATACCTGTTAAGCAGTGTGTGAGGACATAGTACAATATAGCCAATTCTGTGTGATCTCACTGTAGTGTAATTTGTGTTTGAGAGGTCGGAGGAGAGCCATCTGACAAAATCCTTTTTGTTAGTCGGGCCTTTTCTGGTGCCATAAATCAACAATTTTCTTTGTCTAGTATTATACATTAAAATTAAGTTTTCCTTGTTGGCATACTAATGTGTAACATATAATTGCCATATAGATGAAGTGCTGTCATAGCATTAGAGACGGTGAATAGAAATTTTACTTGAAATAGTTGAAACAGGTCCCTCCATATTCTACCCAGATTGTCATTCTCACCCATCCTCTCATTCAACAGATTAAATATGTTACATTATATAAACTGAAATTAAGGAATATATAATAGAAAGGGTATGTGTACCTCCACATTTATGATAACATAAGACAAGCAGGCACTGTTCTTTGCTTGATGTTGTATTTACTATTCTTATCCTAATTTTAGTGATACAGGATTTGTTACATGCTGGATGTTTTTTTTTTTCTTCTTCCCCCCCAACCCTGAAAGTAGAGGTGATATGTTTCTCCAAAATGTCAGTTGACTTTTAGCAGACTACACAGTGATTTATCCAAGAAGGTATAACACTTTGATATGTGTAAGAAAGAGTAAGTAGGATCCATGCAGATTTCTTAGCTCACAAGATTCATGAAACTTTACATAGTTATACTGAAATTATTTCAGAGTGACAGGCACATGATGTTGCAAGTGTTCTGGCTTTGCTGGGAATTGAGGAATGTTGCCTGTACTTTTATTATACACGAAGAATAGTGATAAAGTTAGAAAAGGGTGTGTACTTTTGATTTTACTTTGCACTGTGTATTAATGGATCCAGTAATATGGCCAGCAGGGAAGTAGATATAATACTAGTTCTGTGGTCAATTTGTGAACACTGTTCCTTGTACACAGTGCTGCGCACATCACACATCCCTGTCAGGAAGTGGAGTGTGAAGAGATGAAAGAACAGAGGGGCAGCTGATGATACAGACTGTATACGAAAAATATTGTTTTACAGAGCAGCATGGATGGGATCAAAGAGGAACCTGAATCAGGCGACTCACGGCCATCTTCTCCACTTGAAGAATATGAACCTATTTTTATAAAGACTGAACACTTTGAGCCTGAGACATTGCCAATAATGAAATGTGAAGCCGTGGTGAGTTTTCTGAGCAACTAACCTGTAGATCACAGTGAAGTGGGATGCAGCAGAGTGCTGCACCATCCTTAGTGGTGGTTCAGCTAATTGTTTACTGAAACTGATTCCTACACATGAATTCCATTATGTCTTATGATTTTATTATGGGATGACAGACTTGTCATGATTTCAACTTTTAGTCTGTAGCCTTTGGCTGGTCACTATATACGGTTTCTGTGATCTGAATAAACATGATGAAGTTTAGTTATGTTATTCAGGCCACAAAATGAGGAACCGTGAATGGTGTGGATGATGTTGACAGAAGCTTCCACTTTCATATCTTTTATTGTATTCCCCTCCAGCCCCAGGCACTTCCTCTCTTACAACAGTTATCACTGTTAACACTCATTTGAAGAGAACAGATGAATAGTTGGAGGAGCTTGAAGGAGAGGGGGGATCACTGCTTAGGAATTCTGTCCTTGGCCTCAGTATTGACAGGATCACAAGGATTAAAACAAAATAACGAATTCACATAAACTGACAGATACATAGAATATTTTAATATATTTAAACTACACTGAGGATGAAACGTTGCTTTGCAGCATAGTGTGGACATAGAGAAAGAGGAACCTGATGCAAATAAAGATGCTGCCCTGGGCATGTTGTGGGATGTCAACCCAAACAAGGAGCTCAAGGATGAAGTGACCATAGAGGATCATGAAGTACCTGTAGATAGGTGAGCATGTGGCTTGAGAAGACTGTTGCTTCGTAGGTCATTTTGCGAAATTAAAAATGTGCTTTGAATTGTCATCCATACATCCTGCCTTTATTTCTTCATTTCTTCCACACCTTCTTGCCCCATTTGTCTCACTTTATTGATCATTGTATCCTCTTCTGTCCTCCTTGCCCTGTTTCTTTCTCTTTCCTTCTTTGTATCCATCATGATGTCTTACTTTATATGGAGACTTTTAATGTTTATGCATATTCTGTTGAAGTCTTCTTGGCATGTGCATTCTTTTGAGAAGACTTCCAGCATAACCAGTAACAGAGCACTCTTCGTCACATAAACATGTGATTCTGTGACCTATTAATATTTTTCATGTGAGGGTGGAGATCTCAACTCTACTGCCCAGGCTTTCAACACATTGGAATAATTTTCCTCCTTGTTATGTCCTTACTCTTTTGGAATGCATGTGACTAAAACTGTGGAATGGCTGTTCTGTTTGATTGCATTGGGAGGGACAGAATAAAATCTATACTGTGAGATTAATTTACTCCTCAACATATGTGTAATGAAGCATAGTATCTGTAATTGTGAGAAGCGTGACAGCACTTCATTTGTACTGTGTACACAGTGTGGATCAGGCAACCAGCATAAAGGAGGATGGAGGTGGAAGCAGCAGTAGCAGCAGCAGTAGCAGCAGCAACCCTTCCATCCAGTGTGATAAGTATAAGGATGGCAGTATCACCGTTTCATCAAATGGTAGGAAAGGAGTCACACAGCCATATAAATGTGACGTATGCAATAAACAGTACCAGCACAAAGAGAATCTGAGGATACACTATCGTATCCACACAGGTGACACTCGATTTGAATGTGATATATGCAACAAGGCATTTTGCCAAAGTGGGCATCTTGCAACTCACAGACGAACACACACCGGTGAGAAACCATATCAGTGTGATGTATGTCATAAATACTTCTCCCAGAAAGGCAATTTACAGAGACATTATCGTATTCACACTGGTGATAAACGATATGAGTGTGAAGTATGTGGTAAGACTTTCATTCAGAATGGTGAGCTTGTTGTACATCGAATGACTCATACAAAAGAAAGGCCATTTGGTTGCACTTTATGCCCAAGAAGATTTACGCAGAAAGATATATTGAAGAAACATTATCGTATGCACGCTGGAGACAAGCGTTTTACATGTGAAATATGCAGTAAAGGTTATTTTGAACGGCGTAGTCTGGAGAAGCACTATCGTTCTCATACGGGAGAGAAGCCATTCAGTTGTGAGGTGTGTAATAAGAAATTCTCGCAGAAAAGCATCCTGCATAGCCATGTACGTGTACATACTGGAGAGAAACCATTTACATGTGAAATATGTAATCAGGCTTTTTCTAGAAGTTTGCATCTTCAGTCTCATCGACGTACTCATACCGGTGAGAAGCCCTTCTGTTGCGAAATATGCAATAAGAGGTTTTCACATAAACATAATTTGCAAAGACATTCACGTAATCATGTAGTAAATGTCAGTCAGGATTGAAGTGCATTGAAGCAATCATATTGATATTGGAGAGTACAGTGTGAGGTAATTTTTTCTTGTTCATTTAATGAAATGAGCAATAATACATTTCTACACATATAGATATGGAGTAAGATGCTTAACATCTCTCTCAGGAAATGTGACTATTTTAGTTGGAATTTCAGGAATATGAGTATGAGGTAAGACTGAACAAGGTGTAGGTATACTGCAGAAGCATATTTCTCTATTTTGATCAATTTTGAGATGCTGATGTAGAAATCTGATGTTTACAATGAAGTGTGCTAACTTCTCAGTTGTGACAGTCTGTAATCTGATGGGACTTTAAGGGTATTTCAGAGAAACATACTGCCTCCATATTCAAGGTCAAAGAATACGCGAAACAAACAGAAAATTCCTCTGAAACACCAGTGAACTTGTACAACATCACATCCCTGTAGGTAGTATTCTCTATACAGTCACTCCTTTAAGAACCTCAAATCCAAAAATTATAAGTTTTCAGATTAATTAATAAAACTGTAGTGTTAAAGTAAAATTGGCATGAGAGTAGTTGTATGCAACTTTTATAAATAATTCAGGTTAGTGTGTAGATATGAAGGAGTTTGCATACCTGATATGGAACATTTAGTGTTGAAATAGTGTTCTGTATAAACAGAGCTTTGCATGATATTACCAGCTTTTCAGGATTCTCTAATGCTAATAACAGGAACATTTATTCATCTGAAGAGGATGTTAGTCTCAATGTGGATATCTTAGGTTAGTACTAAGTGGACGTAAGAGGGAGAAGACTATCCTGCCAATGTAATGCTAATACATTGCTTCATGTGCGCGTGCATGGTTAGAAACAGTGATGACATTGTTCATTGAGAAATGAGATATTGTTGAATGTAGGAAATAATGTGAGATGAGAGGAATATGTGAAACTGGATGAATCCAGTTGTTTGTGAGCACAGAGTTGACAGTTTCTTATGTTGTGGATGTGATAAAATTTGGGATTTTTAATGTAGTGACTGCATTTAGATTTATTATATCAGATCACATAACAAATTCTTAATCATAAAATAATTTAGTAGGATGACGAAGGGATGAGGTTATGGCAGAAATAATTTCTGCAGGTAGGAAAACATATGAAAGCCTTGGTCTTCTACACTGGAACTTTGATTTTGCACTTTCAGGTTTTAGGTTTTTCCAGATTTTACACACTGCTCATTTGGTCCTGGCCAAATGCCCGTAAGAACATCTGAGCTGTTCCACTTACGTTTGTCGTGGTAAAATGGGCACATCTTTGCATATGCACATTTTTCAGTTTCACATGAGAGCTATACAGGCTGACAGCTCTAGAGAAAAAGGAAGAAAATGACTGACTGGATAGACATATCATGGTATAATTTAGTGTATTTCATTTACATTATTTTGTTCAAATCTCTATATTTTAAATGTTACAAACTTATGGTACAAAGAACCTACATATTTCTTTATGTTGCATCTTTTTCATTTTCCTGATTTTACACATTGCTCCATGTTACGCTTATTTTAATTTGGTTCCTTTGAAAGTGTAAAATTGCAGTTTCACTGTATGTATATGTAGCCAGGATCTGTTGTACTGCAACAATATTCCTTTATGNATTATTTCATGGTTTGCATATTGGCATTCATTCAGAAATCAGTTCAAGTTGAGAATATATTTAATGAGATGTATCCCTAAAGTGTTCAAATCCCATGATAATATAGAAAACATATTCCTGGCATAATTTTCATTATATCAAATTATTTACATAAAATTTTGAAGCAATTTGAAAAATATGGTTCCATTTTGAGTAATACACCTTATGCATTTTCTTTGATGTTATGTACATGTTTGTGTACTGACACAGTAACATATGAAAGTCATTCATACAATTTCAAAATATAGAATACCATTTTACATGACAATACTTGATCAGATTCTGATTGAAATATCCCAAGTTTTTCAATTCCTTCGTGGTCCTGCTTCCTTTTACTTTTCTTTGAGATTGAGTAAAGAGATTATAGCTGGTGTATTTTACAGAAATCACCCTCTGAGAATTGGACCGAAGGAGCCATTATTTGTGAGTGAGAGTATTACGTGTGAATAGTTTCTTTAAGGTATGACTTATTTTGTGTATTTAATGTGCTGTCTCAATTCTCATAGTTTATACACATAAAGCATTCTACTCCCGCTGCCACAAAATGTTACACGTGTTATTGCATACATTCTCCCTTCAGTGAATGTGTTTGGCCTGTCCCTTTTCTCCAGTAGGTGAGGATTTCATTGCAATTACTTTTCATCTGTTTTGATAAATTCCACAAAACAGTTGATTCAGTGGCATTAAAACCATATAGGTTAAAGATATAATTTCAAGTTTCAGTAATCTTTCAAATATTTTCTTCTTCATGCTGACTATTTTTTGTTTAAAGAAACATGTTCTTTTCTATATACAAGTAGACCAGACAAGCTATAACGGATCAAATTAATTTGCTTTATAGTGTTTATAGTAGATAGAAGTGAATGGCCATCTTCATGCCCCTGCCAATTTACCCCAGGAAAAGAGCCACTAATATCCATTGTATATGGGGCTGGGTGCTGTGGAGTAAAAAAATCTCTTTACCTCCTTGGGGTCATTCAACAGCCATCTTGCATGTTACTATAACAATTGACCTATCCCAGCTCCTAAAAGTCAGTGTATTGACCCTAAAGCAGCACTGTAATTGTAATGTGTGTTACACTACATGGCCCAACAGCCAGACTGTAGTGTCGTTCCAAGGACTATGTTCCTAATGACTTCCAGCAAGGTTCTGAAACATAACCATCTGACTTTGGAGCTTTTGTGCTGTCTATGTGCTTCTTAGGGTTGCATATTGATTCTCAGATCCAGTGATTTAAAAACATGGTCAGGATTGCTCATTTTTCTGTGGGTGAATATTAGCATGTTGCATGTATCGACAAAAGTTTTACTTATCAACCATATGGCTTCTAATTCTCTCTTCTATTGTTACCTTGTGAGGCAATTTTTACGCTCAGAGATGGGTTACAAGGAAGATATCCAAATAAGAGACGCACCCTGTGGCATTGGCAGACCCGTCACTGTACAACCACTCCAAGCTAACTCTTTCACCTTGTCTCTGGAGTATTCGTGAAGTCCACACATTGGACACCAATATCCCTTTTCGTTTGGGTATTTGGAAAATACTCGGCAACTCCACATGCATCACATAATCTTGACAGTTAACCCCTCGAAATTCGGTTGCTTGTGGCTGAAGAAAGCCTAGAGAAAGAGATGACTAAGTAAATATACAGTTTATTAAGATGAAATGTTGTGCCTACAACTTATGGCACCCAATCTTTTTTATATTACTTGAATTTCTTTGGTTAATGTTCATTTAAAACCTAACACTCCACAGATTTCATCAGTGGTGAACTAAGTAGCCCGAACACAAACATAATCAGTACATCCACAATTGAAACAAGTTAAAAAGTAAAGCACAATATTAGCGACCAACGAACAAAAATTATGCAAGACACCGCCAACTGAAATACACGGATTCGTCACTGCCCATGCGATACTTATAATTACGAAAAATTGTAGGAATGGAGTTTCCTTTTTATTGTCTCTCTGATGTACAATGCTGGTGTAGTTGTATGAAATGACTAACATTCATTTACTTTCAGCACAGTTTTGCATAAGTAACAGAAACTAATGAATTATTATACGAGTAAGGAAATCTGAATGTGCTCTGTGTCTACAAATATATGAAGGTAAATAATTTAGAAAAATGCATGAAGAGAGGACGGTCACGAAGTTAAATTACGGTATGTTTAAGTATTAGAAACTAATCATGGGCTCGGTATTTTTGACGTTATTGTAATAAAAATTAAAACTTTAAATTGTTAGATATTTGAGAGAAACGTTTATATTTGCATTTACAGAGTAATAAGGGTTTGGGAAAGAATGTGTTTTCTACACAATTTAAAATGTTCAAATTTTCGCGAGAATTTTAGAATTGTTGTTTTCGAAAGTAAATATTTTAAGAAATGTTCCTTTTTCTTGTGCTAAATGTCAGAAATGGATGGAATCAAAAGGGAACCACTTTCAGACAGCGAGATTCAAAACATTGATACAAAAAAGGAGGAACCCAATTCATGTGGGTACTCGCGACCAAATTGTGGTGATCGAACCGTTGATATGAAACAGGAAGGACTGCCTGAACCATTTGCATTTGTTTCAATAAAAGAAGAAGTGGTAAGTGCTGTGGAAAAGTCCTCATTTATAACTTCAACTTTCTTGTGATTTCAGAATTATACAGTATAGAGTGTTTTACAGTATTGTTATGACTTTTGTCATAACAGCCAGCAGAATAGACACGAAATTTACTTGATCAAAATGATCATGATATAGTAGAGTCCGTGTTAAGTCACAGGAAGACAAATCACAATGTGTTACTTCTCTTTATCAATATATGTGAGTATGAATATATGTACTGCACACCTCCTTATCTTAAAGAGAGTACTATTTAGCTGATAAATCATTGTATGTATTTTCCTTTGCATGCATCCAACATGTCTGAACCATCCTATATTATGCACCCATTCATCCTCAAAATTATAAAGAAATTCATCATCCCCCTGCAAGTACAGCTGTCCAATACAGAATATTTACTGTTCTCATTTCACTTGTTACTGATATTGTGTGAAGATCTGTTATATTGTACACGCTCTCACATGAGTGGTACAACACTGCTCCAATTCTGCAATCTATATGTTGTAGGAGGAATGTAATGAAACTGCAGTCAAACAAGAGCAGGATGCTAAAGCAATTGAACATGTGAAAAGGTGAGTACACAGCTTTATATGGAATGTCAACCATAACATTTTACGTGTGAAAAACAGATCGAAGGAACTTGCTATGTAAAATTGTTTTTATTCACTGAAAGGTACAACAATGTATGTGTATGATGTGTAGTCATCATGAATTTGTAATGTGTGACATGTTTTATATCCAGCCCTACGGAGAAATGATTGAATCCATGAAGTGAAAATAAATGTAAATGTTGAAAATAAATTTATTCCAAGGATATTTCTTCTTATAGGCATTGAAAGTCTGTGTTGAAGCCATTGGCTTATAGTTTCAGTGGAAGGGATCTAAAATTTGGTTGACATCATAAAATGCTTGAAGATTATGTTGATTATACCATTTTGGTTATTAAACTATTATAGCTATTGTAGGCATGAGATTGCTGCTAAATGACTTCCAGATTCATATTTATGTGCATTTGTATTAGAAGGAAGCAGAAACAGTTGTCAGATGCGAAGGCTGTCTGAATTGTTCACTCACTAGAAGAATGCTTGCACACGAAGATAATAGTCTGGTCCACTATTTCAGAACTGGGTGTTAATAAATTTTTAATTTTGTTCTTTAAATGTTCATGGTCAGATAGAAGACTGAATAAATATGTAAATATTTTAGAATTCTTATGTTTTAGTGCCCAAGAAGCAGATGACGTAAGTGGAAGTAGTTCTCAGCATCCCAGCCATAAGCTTCATGTATGCAATGTTTGTCAAAAAACATTTTTAAAGAAAGACAAGCTTACACGGCATGGACGTTCACACACGGGAGAGAAGCCTTTCAGGTGTGATATATGTGGTAGATGTTTCTCTGATAGTGGCGATCTCTCAAAACATCGACGAATACATACCGGTGACAAGCGATTCTTGTGTGAATTTTGCAGCAAGGGTTTTTATCGACGTGGAGATCTTGTTATTCACAGTAGATCTCATACGGGTGAGAAGCCATTCAAGTGCGAACTGTGTAGTAAAAATTTTTGTAGAAGGGGAGATCTCTCCAGTCATCATCGTACTCATTCTGGAGAGAAACCATTTAAATGCGAATACTGTGGAAAACAGTTCTCTCGAAGTGGACATTTGGTACTGCACATTCGGACACACACAGGCTATAAACCTTATATTTGTGAAATCTGTAGCAAAGATTTTTGTTCTAAGGGAGAACTAGTCGTTCACCAGAGAACACATACAGGAGAAAAGCCATATAAATGTGAAATATGTTGCAAGTATTTCTCTTATTTTGGAGCTTTCTCGAAGCACCGACGAACTCACATATAAAGACAGGTACGTCCAAGTGCAGTGATTATCACTAAGTTGCTTGTTGGCAGCCATTGCTGAATTCAAAATGAATGAATTAGTATAAGGAGAATTTTTTTTTCACATCTTTTCCTGTCTTGTTTTTGTGTTTCTTGTGGCTGTACTGGAGACGATGTTAGAAAGAGATGACCAAGTAAATATACAGTTTATTAAGATGAAATGTTGTACCTACACCACCCAATCTTTTTTATATTACTTGAATTTCTTTGGTTAATGTTCGTTTAAAACCTAACACTCCACAGATTTCATCAGTGGTGAACTAAGTAGCCCGAACACAAACATTATAATTAGTACATCACACAATTTAAGAATAGCAGTGTAAATAGAATATCTACATTGTATTTTGTGTGGGCAAAAGTACTAATGTTATACGATCACAAAGTGGGTATTAAGACAGTTAAACCATAATAGTGTGTGAGGGGAATATAAAGGATTGTATTTCTTGAATTTGTTCTTGCCCTTTATATACAGAAAAAGCATATCATAATTTGTCTTATTTTAAATAGGACAGTGATACATTTTGTCATGTCTGTATAGTGTGTACAGGTCAAGTTACTGTCAGGCAGTGTGTATTATATGTGCATATCCTTCCTGAAACTTGTGTTACATTTGTATTCTCATTAGAAAGAACTCCCCTTGAAATTGAATCCACTTTCACAGAGTATGCTGTAGTCATCAGGTTATTGTGTCACCTTGGAACAGCTTTCTAACATTGCAATACAGGAAAATTAGAATCTAGGTGACTACAATACAGCTCTTCTAAGGGCATACATTAGGTACTTTCTCAATTCAGAGAATATGAAAAGAAGTGTTCATAAAAATGCGTATGACAAAAGTCTAAATTTGTTGTTAACCAAATATCTTGATGTATTGCATCTGTTATGTTACTGTATGCTGCAGTGCAATACAGCAATACCAATGAAAGACTCGTAGTGCTGCAATAACACTGGTGACCACTTGTTTCCGTATTATTATTATTATTCAATTCTTTAAACGCAAGTTCGTCTGTGTATACGGTGCAACTGGAACTGTAGTCAAAGTCAGAGTCACATTGCGACTGACGGTCAGTCAGTCAGTAAGTCTCATGACCAGATATTAATTATTACTGTTTGACAGTTACGGTTTTATTTTCATGGGGCACCCTCTCTGACGAGAGGACGGGTCTGTCTTGTGCATATGCTGCTGGCCATTGCCAGAGCGATCTTTCTTGGGTCGGTGTCCCTTGGGACTCTCAACCATATTTTACTGTCTCAGATATGAGGCTTTGCGTAGCAACCGCTGTTTACTCATTGCTAAGCAATGAAGCTTGCGTTGTCACGCTTGTTTGAATGTGGGCAGCTCCTATAGTTTTCACTATATGGTGTAGCTTGTTCCCATCTGAGGTATATTTTATTGCTGTTTGTTTAATGAAAGCGTCACTAACTCTGGTGCTGAATGATCAAATGACAGTAAATAATGAAAAGGATAGAATGTGGAAGGATGTGAACATAATATGATGTATAGTGCTGGTCTAGTATTTCCTAGCAAACTCTGATTGCTGGAAGGATTCAAATTATCGTCATTGTCATTAACCCACCAATAATAAAGTATGGGCCAGAATACTAATCACAGATAATATAATATACCATGATAAATTTCAATTACATATAATGTAAATTAAAAGTTAATATTTTCACTTTCTTTTCAGGACATAAGTTTTAATACTAAAGTGAATATTTGTATAAGGCAACGATCGCATTTCCATTAAAATATACCTGTCACTAAGGCTTTAATCTCCTTTATAATTTTGTAAACACTCCGAAATGCCAATGTTGGAAGGCGGTTAACTCTTCTTACGTTTATTTGGGATATGCATTTGAATGTAAGCTGGTACACGGCCTATTGTGACGTGGTTTTTCAGTACTTCGATGAGAGTTGAGCGCGTAACTTTAAGCAACTCCGGATTTCTTGCATTTCCATTCGTTCCTGTGCAAGAGTCAGTTTATCATTCAATGCTACGTAGTTTTTTTCTGACGGTGTCTGAAAATAACAGTAAAGATCGTAAAGATATGAAGTATCACTGCCACTATGATCACTAAGATATTCTTGTACACACGAAAAGCTATAATTTTCCATGTGCTTGAGAGGAGTCACTTTAATGAGGTTCGTAATAGTGAAAAGAAAGTACGGAGGTATTACAGTCTTAAATAAGTCGTGGGGATGTTTTGGGCCCAGGTTATGTGAAAGAACCCATCCAGTCAGGTAGTGCAAGCAAAGGATAGTGCTCTACGAAACGTATTCAGTAAACGCATGATGCACATTGTATGTAACTACATTTTGAGCATTTTTGCAGTTTAAGACCCATTGCACCTAGAAGGCTTTAATATTGAGTATCTCATGGCACGTAAAGGCCGCAGTTTATATGTTCCGATATTTTGGGGTTTCGCGTACAGAGTTAGTTTAAGAAGAGGTTACTTCTTTGAAGTATTGATACTGATAACTTTATTTCAACTTGTATGGAAATGTGAAAGTTGTTTATGTCGTACAGTGTATGAAAATATGTTATTCCTAGTTTCCTGAACGAATCGTCATGGTGCCCCCAGTGATTACATTATGTTTACATGATTAATCTTTCTACATTAGTTAGTTACTCCATGATGTCCATGGCTGTGTACATATTTTTTTTTATTCTGTACAGTTGAAAATAATTTGTGCAGTCACCATTCATGCACCATGAATGCAATCAAACTGGAACCTGACTCAGAATGTAATTCTTCACAGTATGAAGATGAGGGAGAGTTACCTGAACCTTTCACATTTGTTGCAGTAAAGGAAGAAATCGTAAGTTATACCAGTAAGGCTTGTGTTTTCTGAATATATAGTTAGGGTTTCTGTACCATCACAAAAAAACATATTTTGGTTATATAATAAGTGAATGGATCTGTTTTGAATTACCAGGAACAGCGTATTATATATGTGATTTTACATATATACACCCGAAGATGGCCAGCAAGAATGAAATATGTAGTGTTTTTAATTTGATATAATAAACAGATTGGGGGGAAACGGTAGTGTAGTTGGTTGAGGCACTATACTACAAGCCAGAAGGTCGTGGGTTTGAGTCCTGATGAGGTGGATTTTTTGTCACCTAACCTAATCTTCCAGCTGCACTATAGCCCTGGGGTCAACTCAGTCTCTAACAGAAATGAGTACCAGGAATCTTCCAGGGACGCAAAGTGCAGCTGGCACATAAGGCTGACAGTCTTACTGCCATCTGTGAGCTGGTTGTCTGGAAAATTTGGGACTCTTTAACATCTCTCAACCCTATGGGCCTCCATGGCCTGTTACAGGAATAGCTTTACCTTATAATAAACAGATTGACTCTTTGCTACACTCAGTGCAGTCATGTAGTATATAACAGCCAAAATATCAAGTGATCTGCAGCGGTACAGAAAACTTGTGTTTGTATGTTTAACTAGGATCTTTTCGATTCCAAACCACAGAAGCCATACGATACTAGGAATAAGGATTTGTCCTTAAAGCAGGCATAACTGATATTGAAGAACGCAGTCTTCTGGGATTTGGCACCGTGTATATGTGGTGTTAACCGACGTTTCAGAGGAACGTATCGCCTCCATTATCACGGTAGAAGGATGGAGGAGATGATGGAGGCGATACGTTCCTCCGAAACATCAGTTAACACCACATATACACGGTGCCAAATCCCAGAAGACGGCTTTCTTCATAGTCACCGCCGTGAAAGCCTCAAATCTTAGATAACTGATACTGTCATCTCTTCTGAAAGATCTGGGTTTGGTATGTAATATTGCAGAAGGAAGTAAAGAGGAACTAACTAATTCTTCTCTTAAATAGCAGGATGGTGATGCTTACAAAGATCTGTCTCCAAAGGAGGAACAAGATATGCTGCTGCCTAGGTAATTGCATAGCTATATATACCTGTATTATATGCTTTCATATGAAGCTTTCTTACTCCAAATGTGTAACTGTATGCTTAGATTAAAGGTATTGTGACTAGTATTGCTACAGAAAGTGGATCTTGCCATTGTAATCTTGTTTGCAAGTAAAGAGTTGAAACTGACACCTTTTCATTATTTGCAGTGTGGTTAGCGTTCCCTATAAGGATGGCCCCGATGAAGAGATTAAGAACAAATATATTACAGAGGACTGTAATTTTGAAACTTCCAAAGAAGGTAATGTAGGTGAAAATCAGCAGGCAACTCTTCTGAATGCTCCAGTGTGTAAGAAGGAACTGTCTGAAAGTGGAGAAATAATTAAAAATGTGGAATTGAGCTACAAATGTGAGCTATGCAAAAGTAGTTTTGCAACACAAGCCTATCTTGAAATACACAGACAGATACATGAGAAAGTTTTCAGATGTGACAGCTGCGGAAAATATTTTGCTGAAAAGGGAGTGCTTACTATACATCAACGATCACATACTGGGGAGAAACCTTATAAGTGTGACTTTTGTGGCAAATGTTTCTCACAGAAGGGGAATCTTGATATGCATACACGTATACATACCGGTGCAAGACCATTTGATTGTGATGTTTGTGGTAAATCTTTCAGGCAGAAAAGCTATGTTGCTGTTCATCGGCGAACACATACCGGAGAGAAACCGTTCCAATGTATGTTTTGCAAGAAATGTTTCTCACTTAGTGGAAAACTCACGATGCATGTTCGTACCCATACTGGTGAGAAGCCTTTTAAATGTGAGATGTGCGATAAGCTTTTTACACGGTCTGGGGATCTGGCAATTCATCGGAGAATTCACACTGGACAGAAGCCTTACAAATGTGATGTCTGTGATAGGGATTTTGTACGAAGTGGTGATCTTGGAAAGCACCAGCGGACACATACCGCAGAGGAGGCAGGCATGTAATGAACCTAGTTTGTGACAAACCACAAATTCAAAGCAATATTTCATATGGTAATATTCATATTCAGTATTTTCCTAGTAGTAGATTTTAGTGAACCGTTGTGCATGTGCGTATATAAAATATATCACTGAAATTTTTTGTTTTGGTTTATTGCATTACATAGTGCTGTATATAATCATATTTATGTAAGTAGGCTGTACAGTAAACTCTCGGTTAAGTGTTATCATGCAGCCAGTAAATATTTCAAAACAAATTTACCAATTTATGTTTTGTTTTTGTTCCCCTCTCCCCCCGCCAAAAAAACAAAAAGTCGCTACTATCGANCCCCCCCCCCCCAAAAAAAAAACAGAGTTGCTACTTGAATGTGTTCTCTTGCCATGCGGGACTCTCTCCCACCTCCCCCACCACAAACATTAGTAGGGCAGCCCATCAGCCTTCATCATGAACGTGCCGTGTGTGATAACATTTCAATGTATCCAAAGTATCTCGCCCATTAATATGCTGTCTTTCCAAAGAAACCTCTCATGCATGAACTAAAGCGAAAACATACTGTTTTGACTTTGAAACAGGCAGTGGAAATATTAAGAGACTGGAAAAGATGTGAAAATTGTTATCTGTAAGAGTTTTGTCATCTGACAGGCACACCACACTCGCCATGCGTGCCAGGTAAGAAGGAACATACTGTGTATGGATATGTGAGTTTAACAGTTACTTTACATTGCTTCTCTGTGGATTCCTGCAACATGTGAGGGACTTTGCTGTTATTTGCTATTGTAACATTAGAAAGATAGAAATATGAACTGTTCTTTAAACTTGTTGCACATTTTTTTGACATACACTCTTTGTTTGTTGTCCCCCCCCCCCAAATTTGAAGTCTGAACTAGGGATATTATTGTTGAACTTACTGCAACACATTGTTGAATACATTTTGGATATGAAGTAAATATCCCCCCCCCTTCATACACAACAAAAGAATACTGATGCAATTCTTACAATCGCTGTGTTTTGCATATGCCTTGTTTGAAAGTTGATTGTCAAAAACATGTTAGTTGGAATGTACAGCGCAACTCCAGTTGCATTTTTCCTGTGCAATACAGTGTATCATTTCATGATCACAAATATGTAAGCTTATCAAATTTTCAGTAGTAGGTTTCAGTCATTTCTTTGTGTCATAATTACAGCCAATATTAATGGTTAAGTTCAATCTGTTTGCTTTAGCAAAAGACCCACAGATAATATATTCATATTTTTTTAATTTCACCATAACAAAAGTTAGCAAGTGTCAGAATACCAAAAACTAGATGTAAATGTGTATGCACTCAAACTAAAGCATTGTTAAGAGTACAGGAATAAAATATGCCTCCCCATAGAGAACATAGAAATAGTTACGTTCTAAATTGTAATGCTCTCTGGGGGTTTTTTTTTTTTTTGTCTTTAAACCAACCACGACTGCTACTGGATAAGTGTAAGAAAATGACATAAATAGAAATATAAATGTGGTTCATATCTTAGGAACCATTGCACCATATATTCGTAGTAAATGAGGTGGTGGAAATGGTATAGAAAAGTGTTGTGTTTTAATTATTGGGTATATCTTAAATGGGTTTATTATCTAAAATGGTTCTGCTTTCCTTGACTATTTTAAACGATTCGCTTGCTTCATTGACTGTGTTCACTAAATGAGTTTTGGTTGAACCCCTATTATGACAGCTTTTAGTAGCATACAAATGGTGATGTTCGAAGTCCCGATTTTTCACCTTATGCCTCTTCTCACGACGTAACATCTGGATAGAAACGTTTTTTCGTGGTATCTTGCGTCTTGCCACACCAAAGGTTCAGTGTGTCCATTTAATGGCAGCTACATGATTTAACTACTACAAATATAAATCACTTCATCCAATGTGACCTGTAAGTTTTTTACTACATGAAAACTTAACACCCTTGCATGTTTCGGTCTCTGTGGACCATCTTCAGAGGGCAAACATCACTACAAATAGGAAACCACCATCACATAAGTTGTTTAGACGTAAAGCACGTACACTCATATGCTACAATACATAGTATACAAAATAGACATTTCACAAACACAGCAGTTCCCTGGGAATGTAAAGTTTTTTTTATAAAATTGTATAAAATTACTTGATGCTAATTAAAAATTTTTTGGATTGTCAGTAATTAAAAGTCGTAAACCATGCAGGCTCGTGTTCGTCCTCCGATCGTCCCTCTTATATGGGGCAGATAATGTGCCACCTGGCTATCTTGATGTGGAGGTTCTGCGAATATATTATGGGTATTTTACCTCCACATCAAGATAGCCAGGTGGCACATTATCTGCCCCATATAAGAGGGACGATGGGAGGACGAACACAAGCCTGCATGGTTTCCCTGGACCTTCCTAATGGCATATTCTAAATCAAAGTTGAAAAGGACTGGCAATAAAGCATCTCCTTTTAGACCATTCTGGATAGGAAATTTATCAGAAAATGTTTACCTACATGGACTTTACGTTTCTTTTAAACACATTGTAATCAACCTAACTAGTTTCATGGGTATCCCAAACTCTATTAGATTATTGTACAATACTTCCCTCCTAACAGTATCATAGGCTTTCTTGAAGTCTATGAATAGCTGATGTGCTGTCTCATCATACTCCCACTTTTTCTCCAATATCTCATGAATGCAAATGATCTGATCTGTTACGTCGAAACCCACGCTGATTATCCCGAATAATTTCATCTATAAATGGACTAAACCTTGAGAGAAGAATATTGGATAAAATTTTGTATGAAGTTGATAGCAGTGATACCCCTGATCAATTATATTAATATTCATTCATGAAATAAAAATTATATAAAAACTTCTTCAGTGCAGATTTAAAACTTCTCTCATCAGTAGCAAACATTTTTATTGTTTGAGAAAATGATTAAAAACTTTAATACCTGATATGTACGCACCTTTATTCTATTTTGTTAGGTTAACTGCAGGTAAATATAAATTATTGAGGGCTCTTGTATTTGTTAATCTTATTGTTAAATGTAAATGTTTATTAATTATGTATAAAAGTACTGAGAACAGAACGTCATTATTTCCAAATTCTTAAATTCGTCTTACTGGCGATATTCACTGAAAATTCAAATTACATCACCAATATGGCTTCGGATTCAGTTCCGGTTCCGTGCTCCAAGTATGAAAATTATCTGAATCAAAATCAATAATACCAGCCCAATACCTCCTACATCATTCTATTATCCGGATACAAGCCAAGCATTTTCCAGGTCTCTCGCGTCGTTTCTGACACACTGTTGAGTACTGCGATCTGGTGGCCGCCGCGTGATTCAGTACCAACTATAATGAGGGCAGTGAGAAGATGCATTACGTAGCAATATACAATGTTAATTATTTATACTATAAACATATACATCTCAACGTAACTCTTTCCAGGTTTAATTTATTAATAAAAAGAAAGCCAAAATGTGTCATGAACGTAATTGTAATTAATTGTATCTTGTTATAGGACGAAAAATTTTAAGACAATGCAATGCTTGTGCTTAAGCGATGGTTTTATTACGTACTGTGTATCTTTCCGCTATATTCGTCTAGGAAAATTTTTATATCATTTATTCTCCAAATATTTCTTCAGATAATCACCTTCCGGTCTATTACATGAGCTGTGAAATTCGTAATCCTCTCTAAATTGTCATGCTATGTAATGCTCACCACGGTGTCGTTTATTAGTGCAATCTGGTGGCAGAAATCGTAACTATTAGCAAAAACCAACTCCCTCCGCATTCCTTTAGTAGTGCACTCTGGTAGGTAATTCTGAACTAAGAGCAACTACCAGAATCATAAGAGTATCCTAATAAAAAAGGAAGATAATGCTGCTAAAACTGGTGTAAACAATATCACGATAATTAAACTGAATTGCTATTGGATTCATTTTATTAGCTACCACATCGAGATTGACTTGAAACTTAGATCTCAGTAACCTGGATGGCATAAGTACAGTTAAGTACATTGTAAGTTAATTACTGGGTGCGTCGTCGTTAAAGGGTTTATAATTTATATTAGGCTTCACATATTTCCGTCCTTTATATTACGGTATCCTCGTTTTACTCACGATAATCAGTGAAAGATTGCGGTTTACATCGCTATTGTGACTTCGAATTAACTCCAGTTCCGTGCAGCAAGTATGAAAATTATGTGAATCAAAATCAAGTAGACCAGCTAAATACCTCCTAGGCTATCCTATTATCCGGATACAAGCCAGCCATTTTCCTGGTCTCGCAACATTTCTAAAGCACGATTGAGTACTGCCAGCTGGTGGCCGCCGCGCGATTCAGTACCAGTTACAACTGAAAACTGAGAAAACGCATTACGTGGCGATAGACGATATGAATGAATTATATTATATGCATATATATCTGAACGTAAATATTCCCAGATTTAATTTATAAATATAAAATAAAGGCCAAGAGGTATCATGAATGTAATTCTAATTTAATCTAACTTGTTACAGGAAAACATTTCTGACGATGCAATACTTGTGCTTCAGGCGATGGTTTTATTATGTACTGTCTATCTTTTCACTATAAACGTCTCTGAAAATTTTTACAAAATTTATTCTCCAAATATTTCATCAGCTAATCACTTTCCGGTCAACTAGGTGAGCTGTGAAATTTGTAAACTCTCTAAATTATCACGCGATGTAAACGTAAACGCTCCCTGCAGACTCTTTCAGTAGTTATTAAACTACTGAAAGAGTCTTTCAGTTATTAGAGTAGTTCAGAGTAGTTATTCTTTCAGTAGTGTAATCTGGTGGCAACAACCAACTCCCTCCAATCTTGTTTAGTAGTGCAATCTGGTTCATAACTCGTAACTATTAGCAACAACCTACTCCCTCCAGTCGCGTTTAGTAATTCAATCTGGTGGCAGAAAGTGTAACTATTAGGAACCTCCACAATCCTTCAGTACTGCACTCTATAGGTAATTCTTAATTAACAGCAACTACCAGAAGCATAAGAGTATGTAAATATAAATAAAGTTTATGCGGTTAAAGCTGGTGTACAAATATCGATATTATTACGCGGAATTGTTTATGGATTTAGCCACCACAGCGAGATTAACATGAAACTTCGATCTCAGTAACATAGATTGTAAGTTAATTACTGGGTGCATCGTAGTTAATTGGTTTATAATTTCAATTTAGGCGTCACATACGTTCGTTCTCTATATTATGGTATCCTCCTTTTATTGACGATAATCAATTAAATACGGCGGATTACATCGCTACTA